GAATAATAAATCGCAAGCTAAAGCTGTATTATTAATACCTACACTATCTGTTAAAATAGAATCATTACCTATGCAAAGTACATTATCAGCATATATTTTTAAAAACAAGTTACCAGGAACAGTAGTAACACTACCACTTGTTGTTCCTGTAAATGCAATCCACAGTTTTCTTAGAATTCCTGAACTACCACTATAACTAAAAATAGTGTATGATCCTGGAGTTCCATATATGGCTTGAGATTTTAATCCAAAGCATGTTAAACTTGTATTGGGAATGATATCTAAACTTTGATTTTGCATATCATCGACGTAGCTCTTTGTAACTGCATCTTGTGCATCAGTAGGATTAGCTACATTGATAAGTTTATTTGTATTTAAATTTATATTAGCAGTTGCAGGATTATAACCATCAGTTCTTAGATACATACTGTTAGAAATCTGATTATTATCTAAATAATTCTTTGTAACTGCATCCTGTGCATTAGTAGGATTAGCTACGTTGATCAATTTATGTGAATTCAAATTTATATTAGCACTCATACTATTAGTTCCATCTATTTTTAGACATGCACTACTAGAAGTTTGATTATTATCTACATAATGCTTTGTAGCTGCATCTTGTGCATTAGTAGGATCAGCTAAATTTATTATTTTATTTGTATTTATATCAACGTCTGAAGTCGCTTTATTGTCTACATTAATATTAAGATTTAAACTGCCACCTGATGTGCTACCAAAAGCAGATAATCCATTCATTGAACTACTACCGAATATATTAATACTCATTTTATATACTCATTATTATTTAATTTATTTTTTATAATATATCTAAGATTCACTAAAGTGAATTGATGATGTTTTGAAATTCTTTTCCATCATTTAGTTTTTTCAAGACATAGAGACACAAGTGCCCGCAATAGGAAGTATTTCCAAACTGAACTTGTTCAGTATTGTAGTAAACAGGACTGTGTAAATATTGAACAAGTTCAACTGGAGGTGGTAATCCATAAGAGTCAAAACTTAGTTTCATATCTCCGTCTTTATACCAGCAAATCCAATGAAATCCATTCGTACTTCAATCTCCAGTATTTAATATTCCACATTCTTTGTTTTGTGTATTTTTAGGTAATTCATCTCTTACAAATACACCTCTAAAATTTTTAATTTTTAATTTTTTTGCTGCTTTTATTAATTGAAAGTTTGTTAAGGGTACATTTGGCAATATAATTCCTTCAACATTGATATGTTTGTCCATTTTTATTACTTTATTAGATTTTTTTAGATCTCTTTAGATATAAAAAATAACTTACCTGTGTGTTGCCTGCCTGCTTATTTAAGTTTATAATGTCCATATGCTAATGTGTGAATACCATCTTCTTGAATTACTCTTTTATCATCTTCTGCACTCAATGCTATTTTGTTTATTTCTTCAGTATAAACATCATGACAATGAGATCTTATGACATTCATTTTTCTCATTTGATCTTTCTTATTTATAAGGCAGTCTTTATAATCCTCATGTGTAATATAATTTTTTACTACATTTCTCTTTACTCCCTTACATCTCTTTTTATCTTCTTCATCTATTTTGTAAGAATACAACTTTGATCTGAGTCCAATAAATTCTGTAATTTGTTTTCCTGCTGACTCATCTTTAAACATTCCTATTACTTTCTTATTTACACCTACTTTAAATCCATTTTGAACAGCTGGATGATCTTTATTAAATTCACTTGTATCAAATTTACTTTCAATATCATTTGCAATATCTGCATAAAAGTCTTTTGTTTTTATTTCATAGATTAATGAATCTGTATCTGTATATAATAGTTTAGCTTTATCTCCATATTTATTTTTTATATAATCATAATGAAATTCATACATTAGTGTTTTACTCAAATCTAAAATACACATACCCAAGTAAATGGGTTTATTATATACAAGCTTTGTTCTTTTCATATGAATAGCTATTAAATTTTCATCAAATATCGTTCTACTTTTATAGTTTGGTTTTGATGCTAATTTAATAGCTTCTTCTCTTTTAGAAACTAATCTCACATCAACTCTGTTTTCAATGTTCTCCATTGTCTTTCCAAATACTGAGTTGTTCATAAGTTTGAAAAAGTCCTTTTCAAAGTCATTTGTTGCTTTTGTTCTTAGATCTGTATTGAGTTTAATGTATTTACTTAACCATGCATTTTCTTCAAACTTTATTCCTCTATGAATTTTTGTTATTTGCATTCCTAGTCTTTCATACAGTTTTAAGTTTTCATAGTGAATGATATAATTTTTCTTATGATTTAAATTAGGTATTAATTTTTCAACTCTGTCTATTTTTAATCTTTCAGGAGCAAGTGGATAATCATTATGAACATCATGTAAATATTCAGGATATTCTAAATCTACTTCTAATATGCAAGAAGTAGATTTCCAATTTTTTAATTCTTTATCATTCATCCATTCAAACCTATGTGTTGGAAGGGGCTTACTCATTGCCCACCCATATAAATTATTTGCATCTAGATACTGTATGTAAGTAGATTCTTTACTTTCATCATAATTTTCCATGTATTTATTGTTAGCAGTTCCTAATCTTTTAGAAACTATACTAATTCCACCTTTTATTCCTTCTTTTATCATTAAAATCATGTCATAATCACTTAATAATTCTAATTTTACTTCTGTTATTTTCAACGCAGCATCCCAAGCTAATCCAGGTGCTGTATAGTACCAAGCAGGATCTAATTTGTAATTGTTAAAACAGACATCTCTAAAATTTTCAAAGACATCAGCTAGTAATAATACATCAGATTTGTTATATAAATTATGATAATCTTTAAATGTTTCACAATTAAACTCTTTCCATACATTTTGAGCATATAAATAATCTTCATCACTTATTCCTTCATCATTTAATCTTGAATAAAATGATTCTTTTGGTGGTAATTGTGTTTCATTTAATTTATCAATAGAGTCAACCCATTCATAAGGAGAAACACCTTTTCTTAACAATAAATTGAGTTCATTTCCAGAATAGTATCTACTAATATTTTTACATTGATCTTTTGACAAATTTTTAGTTAAACTATCTAAACTAGCAGCCATAAATTTAAAACTATCTAGAAAACGTAGATACAGTTTAACTTCAACTTTTTTACCTTCTCTATTCATAAATTCATTTACTTTAAGTTCTTTAGAAAAGCTGATATATTTTTCTTCATTGTTGGGTATACAATTTATTTTTCCTCCTTCTGACAATTTCTTTATGAACAAGTGAGAGTCATAACCAGATAAATTGTGAAATAGTACTGGAATGAATTTTGGATTTTTAAATTGTAAATTACACTCATTATGTGCAGCACCTCTATATTTTCCAGTAATATGACAATGATCTTTTACTTTATCTTCATTAAGATCTTTTTCACAAATGTGACATATTTTTGCATTATCAAAATTATTTTTGTCTTTCATAGTAAATATCATCTTTTTTGGAAATTTTAAATAATCGTTGTAAATCTTTTTTACATCTTCTTCTAGCATATTAACAAACTTTTGTGCACTAGTTTACTTTGATATATTTTTTCATCAAAGCATTTAATATAGTAACAAAATGAACTAGGTGTATGCTTTTGGTACTGCTTTGTATAAGATTCATCTGGGTTATGTGCACAAGTGTTGATAGGTTTAATAAAACTTTCAAAGTCAGCATAGACTACAAAGGGCACTCTCATAGATTTTTTAAAATGATTAAACTTTATCATTGTATTTGGTTTTGGAAGCTCAATTCGTACTGAATCATGAGTATCACAATACAATTTATGCTTTGATAAAGATTCTTCAGTACAAAATCCTAACAAGCAATTTCTACAATAAAACATTTCATGTTCATTTTTAGATATTTGTGATGAAAGTAATCTACTTATACTTTTTATTAAACAATAGTGATTGGTTTCATCATTTGAAATGAGTAACAAGTCTATTTGATGTTGTCTATTTTTCTCATTTGATATTCTTAAAGGATAAACAGAATTTTCATAACCAAATACATTAACACTTATGTCTTGATTATTTTTCTCAAATTGAGTAATCTGTTGTAGTGACACTGGGAATTTTATTTTTTCCCAATTTAATTTCTCAGCTTGTTCTTTTAAATCTTTATCTACTCTTTCAGGATGATTGTCTTTAGGATTAAAAAATCTAGCAACACACCACTTAAAGCATTCGTTGTCTTCATTCTTCATATTAATAATTGCTTTTTTAGCTGCCAACTCTTTAGGAAGAGGAATGTAAGATTTACCTTTAATAGGCTTATATTCAATGATATTAATGTCCATCTTTTTAACTGATACAAATCTCCAATTTGATCCTAGTTGTTGAAATGCTGACAAGGATTCTAAAATTTTTTGTTCAGCTCTTTCATAAAAGTCATTTAAATCTGTTGACTCTAATACAACTTCTGCTTTTGTTGAAAATGATGCAATAGTTGTTATAGTTTCTCCTGTTTTAAGATCAGTACGCTCCATTTCGCATGAAAGAACAATATAGATTTTTGATTCTTTATTACTATTTAAAATATTTAATACATTATTTTTAACTGATTTCATATAAGATAAAGCATCAGCTCCTTCAACTCCTTCAGCTGAAAATTGTGTTGTCACATTTCTAACAGCTGATTGTGTTAATTTAAACTCTATTGGTTTCTTTTCTCTCTTCTTTTCTCTCTTCTTTTCTTTTTTAGATTCTATAGGTTTTATAACATGTTCACTTTTAAATCCTACTTTTTCATACAAATTAGAAACTGTAGATTTTAATGTATTAATTTGCGTAGTAGCTATTTCTTTAATAGGATTAGGAATATATGACATAACCCAATTTGTTAATAAATTGATTTTATTAAAAAATCTATTAGTAATATTTGCCATTTTTTATATACAAGAAAATTATTTATATCATTTTCAATTTTTTATATTTCTTGTTAAGAAATTAATTGACAGTGAAAATCATTTCTTATTATATTTTTTATATATACAAGAAAAAATTATTTATATCGTTTTCATTTTTTATATTTCTTGTTAAGAAATTAATTGATAGCAAATAAACATTTCTTGTTATATATTTTTATAGACTTATATCTATAAAAATAATTTATTTTTCATTTTCTGATTTTATTATTTCTATTTTTACTCCATTTTTAACTTTTCCATTATATTTCTCAGCATATGATTTACAATGCTTTTCTTTACGAATATAATCATACAATGAATTGTATATTTTAACTTCACCAGTTTCTATATTAGTAAGTTTTATAGTTGTTGGATTTGTTCTAATTTTCGCAAGCCAGTCATATTTAGGATCTCTTTCATTTTTTTCTTTTATAGGATTAATTCTAGGTCTTCCAGCTTTTTTTTTTCTCTTTTATTACTTTTTCTTTTTCAACTCTTTTAACTCTTACAATCTTTGGTTTTTTTTGTTTTTTAGTAATGATATTTGATTGTATAAATTCTTTATCAATTAAATTATTATCCATAGCAATCATAACTAATGCAATGTGATCTTTAGATGTTTGTTGTATATTATTTTCTTTTAGTAAATTTAATAAATACTTTTTTGTATATTTTATTTTGTCACACATTTTTATATATACAAGAAAATTATTTAACTCATTTCAAAAAAATATTTTTATTGCACATTTTACTATTTTCTTTTTCTAATATTCAAAGTTAAATCTATCTCCATTAGACTTAAGTCTACCTAATCTTTCTGACACAATAACAGCAAATGCTTCAGTTCCATCTGGAATATTTTCACTAAAGTTTGCTATAATATCAATATCTGATACTGAAGGTTTTAATCTTTCTGATTGATGTCTTAAATCGAAAACAAAAAGTGGATATAAATCTCTATAGTCTGAAGGTGTTATGTTACAATTTGAAATTATTTTATCTATTCCACAAAAATTTTCTTTAAAATTGGATACATCTGTATAAGCTCTTGAAACTTGTTGATTTGGAAATGATAGTTCATAATCAGCTTCAGGATATCTTATTTTATTAATCACAACTTGTATATTTGTTAAGTTACAATGATCGAATATTGAAGCATTTTGTGTTTGATCATTATCTTTATTTGTTTGGAATCCAACGATAATATATCTAGGTTTTTCATCACTTTTAACACCAAGTCTCCAAGTCATTTTAGATGTTTGTTGAGGAGTTGTAGTTTCACACGATCTAGAATAAAAAGCTACTGGAATTGTTACTTTTTCTTTAATAACAGTATTAAGAGTATGTCTTCCTTTATCTGATGGTGTGACATAAGGCATCCATAATGATATTTTTGTAAGATTTACTTTTCCTATAGCTGCTGCAGCAGATCGAAAAATAGCATCATTGTCATTTTTTCTTTGTAAAGTTAATGTATGTTTAAATCCGTAAATTACTTTAGTATAATCCTCACAGAATCCGAAAATATGATTTAAAGGAATACAAAACGAAAATGTACGTTTTGTAGTAGGTTTTTTTATAATGTATGCTTGTCTTACTGTAAATCCAACATTAGTAGTCAAATTTGCATCTGTTACAGTATCTTTGTACCATAGTTGATTTAATCCTTCTGCTAATTGGAAGTCATTTGAATATTTGAGCATTCCTAACATTGTAGTTGCTTGTCCTAAATTATTTACTGTTTCTATATTCTGTCCTGATAAATCATATGCCATTCTATCAAATAAATGCATAATTCCATTGTGTGTAAGTGTAACTACATCTGTATCAGCATAGGATGCACCACTTGCTGCTTGAAGTCTTCCTTCAACTTGTATATAAGCTTTAGATGGTTTAAAAAATGAATCTGTCATCTCAATATTAATTTTTATTGGTACGGTATCATTTATATTTGTACCATTTTGTGGAGTATATTCTCCAAATTGATATCTGAAAATACTATCATCAATAAAGGGATCTTCTGTTAAATCTAAACTTTTATAATCTGCCATTTTTATATGCATAACATTTTTTTTTAATTCATTTTACATTAATTTTATAAAAAATGTTACTGAAAATTATGCCATTTTTAATCCTCTTCCCATCTTTACTAATTCCTCCAGTTTAATAGCGTTTGAATGGCTTAATTTTTTATTTAATCCTCTTTTAGATCTTTTAGATGGTATTGCAGATCCCATCATCAATTTATTTATATTTGTTGTTACTTCATTAGATATATTTTGAGCAAGATCATTAGCTCCAGATTCAACTAAATTTGCAAGTACTTGTTTACTTTCAGGTTTAAGCTTTGATTTTTTAATCAACTTGTTTCCTTTTTCTAATATAATATCTTTAGCTGTAGAGATTGCATTTGTAGCTAGTTCTTTACCTGCTACTTTTGCAGCATCTATTGCAGTTTTTCCTAAATCACTAGCAATGGCTTTATTAGCTAAATTACGTGATATTTTAAGTGCATTATTAATCGATCTATTATTCAGTAAGCCTCTAAAAGGACTAAATATGCCACTTCCATCAATAAAATGCTTTTTATAAACTTTTTTCTCAACAATTAACATTTTTTATATACTTACTATTTTTATTTAAATCTCTTCGAGATTCATAAGAATTAATTTATTTCTCATAAATGCAGATCCCTTATTTATCTCTTAAACGGTTAGTTAACATTGTCTTCATACCAGATAATGCTCTAAAAAAATCAGAAGATTTTGCTCGATTATATAGATTATTAACATCATCGAATATACCACTTCCACTTACAAAATGCTTTTTATAAACTTTTTTCTCAACAATTAACATTTTTATTTACTTACTATTTTTATTTAATCTAAAAATGTTCTGTAATGATTTATAATTTTCAGAATCAATTTCTCCTTGACGTAATAATTCATCACAAATAGCAACAGCCTCATTTCTAGCCCCAGTATTACCTGCTTCAAATGCAGCTATTCGTAATGCAAGCATTTTAACTAATTCATTTGGATCACTAGGAAGAATGATAACTCCTTTTCCAGATTTTCTAGCGATCTCTACCCAAATGGGTTTTATTATTTTATTATATTTTTCACTTCTAGATGATCTAGGCTTTCCTGGATATTTACTAGAAGAAATAGCATCTGTTTCTTTTAATATATTTTTATAATTTTCAAGATCATCTTCATTGTATATATCTTTATCAGGACTAGATTTTGTTAACAATTCCCAAAGACCATTAGTTCCAATATATTTTTTATCATCAATAGTTATATCATTATTACTGATTAATATTGGTTTTTTTCCTATATACAATTTTCCATCTTTTGAGTGTATACCAAATGTAAAATCTGCTTCCTTTTTATTACTATAGGCTGACTTTAAATAATTTGTTGCTATAGTTCCTAATGAAACTATTTTACTTTCAGGTACATCCATTATTGCTGGATAATTTGATAGAGTGATAGCTAAATCAGCTTTATTTTCTAATTTAGCTAAGTTTTCTTTTATTCCAGATTGACTATCGATAATAGGTTTGTATAAATTACCCAAGTCATACTGTAAGTCACTAAATCCAAGCTTTTCATTTACTGCATCTTGATAAATACCTTTTTTCAATCTTTCGAGCTCTTTAAAAGCTTCATTTCTTTTTTTCGGATCTACAATATCTAAAAACGACATTTTTATATACATAACATTTTATTTTAACGTATTATCATGTTTTACTTGAACATAATATATGTTTTACTTGAACATAATATATGTTTTACTTGAACATAATATATGTTTTACTTGAACATAATATATGTTTTACTTGAACATAATATATGTTTTACTTGAACATAATATATGTTTTACTTGAACATAATATATGTTTTACTTGAACATAATATATGTTTTAATTAATGTTTATTTTGTTAATATTTTGATTTTTATTAAACCTATTCTCTAACAATTCCATCGCCTCTTTCATAGCTTTCTCTTTGCCTTGGTTGAATATTAATTGTTTAGTTTGTTCATCAATTTCATTTTTAGATTTTGTTCTAATTTGTTCGATCATAGCTTGAAACTTTTCATATTCTGAAAGTATCATTGTAAATTCTACATCATCGATATTACCATCTTTTAAAGCTTTAGAAATATGGTCGCTTATAGTATTTAATTTTGCATCAGCTAATACTTTAATCTTTTCATGCTTTTCTGATTTTATATTTAATTTTTTAATTACTTGAGATCCTATTAGTGATATTAAACCAATACCTAATGCTGTACCTTCACATGCAATAGCTACTGGTGTTCCAACTATTGTTGTTAAAAAACCGATACCAACAGCTCCAAGTGTCATAGTAGTTGCAAGTAATGAATTATCAACAACTGAAATTATTCTAACAGCTCTATGATATTTTTTACTTAACATAGCTCTTATTTTTCTTTCACATTCTATTTTACCTTGAATTTCACTTATCTTATCTAATCTATATCGCTGATCAGATAGTGGTGGTGCAGTTGGATCAACTCTAAACTGGTTAAGATCTGGATAAATACTTTTACATTCTTCATTTTTACATTCTTTGTAGTCTCTATTATATTCCATTCTTTTTTATAAAGAAAAACATTCATTTTAAGTTATTTTAATAAATCTCTTTTATTTACCAAAATTAAATATAGATTTAGAGTATTCAGTATCACTTTGTGATATATCACCGTCTTTATCTTTGTCAGATTTATAGTAGCCAGGATCACTTTGCAATCTAGTATTATCTTTATCACATATTTTATCAGTAATTAATTCTCCTATACTTGATAATATAGATTTAACAGAGTCTTTATCACTTTGTGGTTCTTCTTTTGGTTTTATATTTTTAGGTCCTGAAAGTACCTTTGCTCCGCTAGATCCTTTGGATCCATAAGAATTAGATCCCTTCGGGATCAATACTTCGTTAGATATATAACTGATTATATTTATAATTCCATTATAAGATAAAATATATAATAAAAAATCTCCTTTTTTAATATTTATATCTTTTTTATCATTATTATATAAAGTTATTATAATATCATTAGTAGACTCTGCTACTACTGAATTTAGTAAGTTTAAATATGGCTTATATTTTTCTGCAAGTGCAAGTGATACATACACTTCATCTATATCAACTCCACACTTTAAAGAAATGTTATTATATGAATTTGATTTTACTACGAAATCTTGCTGCGCAAATACTCTATATTTTTTATTATTAACAAAAGATGGAGTATGATCTAAATTCCGATTATATATTAAACCTATTTTTTTTATTTTACTATTTTCAATATTCAGAAACATTTTATTCATTTTATAAAGATGTTTATTTATTTATATCATTTCACAACATAATAATATAAAAAATTAAAATGATTTAAATAATTTTCTTTTGTATATAAAAAAGATGTCTTATGTGAGTATTGAAAATTTTGATGAAGCAAATTTATACGTAAAAGAAATAATTAAATTTAATAAACCTGTCCCATATCAAAAAATAGTTATTGGCTACAACTATTCAGATTTTTCAGAGGCTTTAAGAGTAAAAACCCCAAAATCGTTTTCATATGGAGTTAATGAAAATATAGACTTAAAAACAAAAAAACTTACAGGATATTCAATTCCTTTTGTATGTGAAAATGATATATTTATCACAATTATTGAAGCTATTGAAAAATTTTGTAGAGATAAAGTTACTGAAAATGAATCAAAGTTAAAAAAAGGTGGTATGAAAAGTCTTAATATTCACAATTTAAACATTTTAAAGTATAGAAATGATAATCCTAAGGCACCTCCAGTTATATATGCAAAAATACCAACAGATTATAAAAGTAAAAAGATGGATCAAGTATTCAGGAAAAAAAATGATGGTGATATTTTAGGAGAAAGTCTTATTAAAAAAAGATGTGACGTTGTTGGATGCTTAGCAATTGAAGGTGTATATATCGGATCGATGATTCAATCTATTCAAGTAAAATTATTAGATGCAGTTGTATATGAAAAAGAGTATAAGATAGAAAGACTTTATATTAAAGATATTGATTTAGAAAGTGAAGATGAAGAGTAAAATATTTTTTAAAAAATGATTTATATAATTTAAGTATTAATTATAAATATATAAAGAATGGATATTGAAGTACATAACAATAAATCAAATATTACTACAATTCAATTTGATCCTATTATTGAACTTGATAAAACAAAAAAATACGAAATGGCATTTATAAGATTAGAAACTATTCACTACAGCGTTTCATCTCAAAATAAGTGTTTGCATATATTAAATAATATTGTAGATGGAAAAAATATAAATGGTAAGAAAACTAGTGTAATGCATACATTTCTACCTATTACTCGTCCTTCAGGAATGAGTCTTGTTGAAGAACCAAATTTTAAAAGTTATTTTCCATTAAGAACAAACACACTTTCAAAAATGACAGTTGAAATAGTGGATGACGATCGTTATGCTATAGATATGAGTAAAGAAAGATTAATAATACAATTTCATCTAAGAGAAGTAAAGCAGTAAAGTTATTCATTATAATGAATTAAAAAATAATAATACATATATAAAAATGGATATATGTATTGGAGGAGATACTTCAACAATAAGAACAAAGTTTTTACCAGCTATTCCACTTGATGGAAAAAAAGAATATGAAATGGCATTAATAAGCTTAGAAACATATAATATACTTAATAATATTACTACAAACAACAATAAATTTACCTATATTATTTATGATCCAAAGACTAAAGAAACATCAACAGCTAATCGTAATATTCCAGAAGGTGTCTATGAACTTTCATCGATCAATGACTGGTTGCAAAAAGAATTAGTTGCTTCTCATTTTCCTTTGAATTCAATTACTTTTGTAGGAAGTACAACAACATTTAAAGTTATAATGGGTATTGAAACAAATTTTGCAGTTGATTTTACAATTGAAAATTCAATCAGAAATCTTTTAGGTTTTGAAAGTAAAATATATACTGCAGGTGTTT